GCACAAAATTTTTGTTAGAATTTCACAACTGTACACTGAAAAAAATTTAGCCGAAATCCTCAACTACCTTTAGTTAATTGACTTGAAAGTAGTAAAAGTAACTACTTTTTTGGTTATTTTAACTATGTGCGTGTAGTCAATTTAACTATTTTTTATGGAGTTAAGAATTAGTAGTTAATTGTACTTAACAAAAGTAGTTGAATCAACTTCAAAAATTAGAACAATTACAAAATCTCCTTGACCCAACTAAATTCTTAGTTCTTTTAACTACTTTTTAATAGTCCATACAACTTTTTAAATTCAGTTAAGGACCTATTGAACTATGCAGGGTATAGTTAAAAAGTAGTCAAATCTACTAGTTTTTTTATTGAGTGTATTTTTTACTGATTTTTTTGTAATTTTAAAATAACTGCTGATGGATACACTGAAAAAAATTAGTCGAGAAATTCAACTACCGTTAGTTAGTTGACTGAAAAATAGTAAATTTCTTTTGGAAAACGTTTTATTGACCTCTCAAATAAGTTCGATTAGATATTAATTAATCTATCATAAATTCTTTATTATATTCACCAGGAACATCATCGTCGACTAGTTTTCGTTATAGTAGCAGCAGTTATTTTAAAATCACAAAAAAATCAGCAAAAAATAAAGTTGTGGAATTTTATTGAAAATTTTGTGCAATTCTGTATGGAATTCTTCAAAAAAAAAAATTCGCAAAATTACGAAAGGAATACTTTCAAAATTTTGCGGAATTCCGTTTGGAATTTCCGTGAAGTGATTTTCGTAGAATCATTTCACCTGGGTTACTACCTTAAGAAAGTTAATTTTACTACCGACCTGTAGTTGTACTTTAACTACATATTTACGTAAAATCATTACTTATTAACTTCTTAAAAATAGTTACATTAACTACATCAACATGATTAGATTAACTAAAAATGTAGTTATTTTAACTACTTTCTAGTCAACTACCCAATGGTAGTTGAATTTCTCGGCAACATTTTTTTCAGTGTACTATTATATTTAATTTAATATAACTGTTCTCTCTAAATTTGAATGAGTGAAAAATGAGATACTAATTCACATTAGTAAAAATTTTTACTAAAATATTACTATTTGATTTAGTAGTTTTAAAATTTTTGAATAAAGTTTTAGTAAAAAGTGACGAAAAATTAGTGAAAATTCTTACTAATTTAAAATAGTAGCTCAGTTTTCATTAATTTAGATTTAGAGAGTTGCGAAATGATTTAAAAAAATTATTTTAATCTTTTTTTGATACAATTATTTATAAAAATGCACATTTAAACAATTATTAATTTAATTATTTGAGATTAAATTTTTTCCCTCGCCTTAATTGAAATTTTTTTTAAACATTTCCATTGGCTTCAATTACGGCGGGCAAAGTATCTTCAAAATACACGTAATTTTGGTCACCATAATTGGTACATCGAAACTGATACAAACGCACCGTAATAGAAAATTACGGTATTACACTGGAAAAAAAAATTTATTTGATTCAAATACCGCTGTATTTGGTTATTATCAAATAAATATTTACTTGAATCAAATATTTCTTATTTGAATCAAATATTTCAGTATTTAAAGCAAATACCATATTTATTTGATTCAAATAAGAAATATTTGATTCAAATAAATATTTATTTGATAATAACCAAATACACCGGTATTTGAATCAAATAAATGTTTTTTTCAGTGTAATTTTAATTTCTCATATTTGTTTAAATAATCGATTTTTATAAAGTTTAATTTTTTTTTAATATCTAAATAACATAAGCTTAATAAGTCTTCAATTGACTTTATACAATAGAAATGTCGAATTTTCTATTTTGACTCGAATTGCAACGTAATTAGTACATTTACTCTAATTGTTTTTATATTTACTAGATTTTTGTATATATAATAAAAGTAACGGATGTTTGAATAATTATTTTCGAATTACTATTATTTTCTTTTTTTTTTCATTGAGATAATTCTATTGGTACAGTAATCCGGATGGTTACACCCGTTTAATCGCGTTATCTTCTCAGGACTGAGTGTCGGTTTCGTATCCGGTAGCTTGAGGTCTACGATTACCTTATCATACTTTGCATATATATATATATATATATATAAAAGATAAACGCGGTGCAAAAATTGTAATAAAATATAATAATCAAATGTAAAAAAAAGTCCCCCAAAAATTTTTAATCTTTCGAAAATTTGAAAAATATTAAAATTATATAAAAAATTATAATAATAAAATTTAAATATTATTATTAATTTATTAAGTATAATTAATATTTTGAATAATATTTGTAAAATTATAAAAATAGTAAATTATTTTTACTATATAAGGAAGAAAAAAGCGAAAATCGATTTTGGTATTTTCTAAACAACAAAATTTTATTTTTTGAATATGAAAAAAATTGTTTAATTTACAGAGAGAGAGAGAGAGAGAGACAAATAATGATTACGTATTGTATTATAAACGCGGTTTGAAAATGAAAAACAATTATCGCTACGTCCCTGGAGCCACATCCGCCAGTCATTGCCTATCATTGCACTCGCCACAGGAACTCGATACCTTCTCGGGTTGATAAGCAAAATACACTAGACGTTACGCTCGGTCTCTTTATCAATCCAAGTTTGAGGCGCACTCAAGCCCTTGATAAAATATTAAAAAAAAAAAAAAAACCCCAGTTTTAATTTTTTTTTAAAATTTTTATCGGAAATAAAATATATAAGAATTGATTTTTTATTAATTCTTTTTTTTTACATATTTTTTATTTTGGGCAATTTTGATAAAATTTTACATTAACAAATAAATAAAAAATAAATAAATATTAATAATAATAATAATAATAATAATAATAATTCATTGTGTTTTATATTGATCCTTAGATGATAATATTGTGTTGTTGATTTATATTTTTATCGATTACAATCGATGTAATATAATTTTAAAATGATCAATTTTTATGAGAATGTAAAAAATTTTATTATATTTCGTGAGAATGGTAATTGTATATAAAAATGACCTGAGGGAATATCAAAGGAAGAAAATATTGATCTTCCTGTATTATTTACTGCTGTAGTTTCCCTTGCGGCAAGGCTAAAAACTCGAGTAATTAAGGCCCAATTAAGAGCGAGGTCCATAGGCTCTCTCGTTGCAGAACAGGTTCTCAAGAAGTTGTGTCACCCCCTCAGGGCAACAGGAAGTGGGAAGTTTCTTCTTCTCTCTTCCTCTCGTTTTCATCTTCTTCCATGCGAGTGCACGAAAAAAATTTCAACCATTAATTGACTATAATTAGTTGACAGCTCGTTGATTGTTCATCTTTAGTTTTCCCAATGACCTTCGAATATTTTTTTTTTCAATTGTTCGTATACATATTATTAATATTAATAAAAAATAAAAAAAAAATTTTTATAATAAAAAAAAAAAAAAATTGATACTTGTATAGTTTTTAGAAAATAATTTGCATTGAAAAAAAGTTGTCATATAATTCTGCTGAATTGAGGAATAATATAAATAATAAAAACATCTTTAAACTTTTTTTTTTGGGCATAACAGAATTTTTGTTATATTGGTAGCACTGAAGGTCCTTCTAATAAGATACTAAAAAAATAAAAATTTTTGCAAACAAAATCGTTTGGTTGGGAAATTTTGGTTGTAACTAAATTTTTATTGGTGGAAACAAAATTGTAGAGTTTTCTGAACCAAACATTTAGTTGGACGAACAAAATTATAGGCTTGACATTTTTAAAATTCTAACCAAAATTTAGTTACAACAAAATAATTTGGTTAATAGTGTAGTCTGAAAAACCAAATTTATTCGTTTTTTGTTCTGTTGGTTTAGCTCAACCAAACATTTTTTTTGCTCCAACAAAAAAATTTGGCTAAGCTAACAACAAAAAAAGTTCACGACAGAATAATTTGGTTAACACAACAAAATAATTTGATCTGAAAAACCAAATAATCGTTTGTTGTTCCAACAATGGTGGTTTGATCAACCAATATTTGTTGTCCTAAGAAAAAATTTGGTTCAGCTAACCAAACATTTTTGTTATGCCAACAAAAAACACTCAAGCAAATTTTTTGGTTGGCTTAAACAAATATTTTGGTTTCTTTAATACCAATAAAATTATTTTGTTGATCCAGTCAAATTTTTGGTTACTGAACCGAAATATTTTTCCCAGTGCGTATAAAGCATATAGAGTAACATTGTTTAATTTATCTTCAATTCGGAAATTATTTCTAAATTTCTTTATTTCATAACAATTTTTGAATTTCGCGCCATTAGCCATAATTTAGCGTTGCAAGGTTGGCAGTTGTTATGAAAATTAATATAAAATTTCTAATAACCTCTCTAAACATATTCTACTGTCATTAATATTATTGTAATATAAAGAGTGATTTTTACATTCCGGACCCCTGAAAATTTTTTTTTATTCTCCTTTTTTTGGTTTTTAAACAAATATAATGGAATTAAAAAAAAATTTAGGAGTCCGGAACATAAAAATCATATTTAATATAATAAGAAGCTAGATTTTGATAAAAATCTTTTTATATTTTATATTAAAATGTTTATGATAAATTATATTTGGGAAATAAAATTCTCGATGACAATTGGTGAAATAAAAAAAAAAAAAAAATAAAAAAGAAGGTACCCGGATGTCACGTGTTGCATTCACAACGTGTGTTATTCCTTCACTATAGCCCACGCATACCGATTTATCCTGGATTTTCTTCGATACCCCTTCTTTTGTTATATACTCACACACTACAACTGTTTTAGAACACCCTCAAGCTTTCTCTTATATTATATTTTCATAACGAGTCATTCATTTTGCTTTAAACTATAAATTATATATGCGACGTTATATTTAAGAATTTGTTCTACATTTTCTTCGTTAACTAAATGTTAATTAAATATAATAAAAAATTTAATAAAATTCGCATTAAATATATTCTATAAATTTTGTTTTTATTTTTGTTTCAGTACGCTGGAATTCGTATTGGACCTGTCGTCAAGAAAGATGTGATGAAGGCGTCGATTATGTTGGAGCATGATAGCCAGTAAGTGCGAATACTAATTTATCTCGGAAATTAAAAATTTCAAAAATTTTGGTCCATTGTAGCTCGGATGCTGTTGGTCCTATCAGAAAGTTTCATTTCTTTTTTTGTAGTTCACTATCTGGGGATAACGCTTCTGCCTTAACGAGATTTTATCTTGAAAATTTAAATTTTCGAAATTTTTTGGTCCATTATACCACGGATGCTGTTGGTCCTATTAAAAAGTGCTCCATATATATTTTTTGTAGAAATTTGGGAATAAAAATCCTGCTGTGCTATGCCCGAGAGTTTATTTCGTAGATTTTAATTTTCGAAATTTCTTATCCAATTTGGTCCATTATATTTCGGATGCTGTTGGCTCTATCTAAAACTGCTTCATACTTTTTTTTGTTGAGCACTATCGGGGAATAACTCTTATGCTTTGCCGAGACTTTAAATTTTCGAAATTTTGCATCCTATTTGGTCCATTGTATCCTGGATGCTGTTGGACCTATCAAAATGTGTCCCATATATTTTTTTGTTTATCACTATCTGGGGATAACTCTCCTTTTATGGCCGAGATTTTATCTCGAAAATTTAAATTTTCGAAATTTTTACGTCCAGTTTGGTCCATTATATGCCGGATGCTGTTGGTCCTATCAAAAAGTAATTTATTATTTTTTTGTAGAGCACTATCGGGGAATAACTTTTATGCTTTGCCGAGATTTTCTCTAGAAAATTTAAATTTTTCGACCAGTTTGGTCCATTATATCCCGGATGCTGTTGGTCCTATCAAAAGTATATATTTTTTGTAGAGCACTATCTAAGAATGATAATCCTGTTATGTTGCGCCCAACAGTTTCATCTCGAAAATTTTTATTTTCAAAATTTTTTGCCCAGTTTGGTCCATTATATCCCGGATGCTATAACGGATGCTGTTGGTCCAATCAAAAAGTGCTCTATATCTTTTGGTATAGCACTATCGAGGGAAAACTTTTACTTTACCGAGAGTTCATCTCGAAAATTTTTGTCCTATTTGGTCCATTATTATATCCCGGATGCTGTTGGTCCTTTCAAAAAATGCCTTACATATTTTCTGTAGATCACTATATCTGGGGATAACTCTCCTTTTACGCCCGAGACTTTATCTTGAGAATTTAAATTTTTGAAATTTTTCCTCCAGTTTGGTCCATTATATCCCGGATGCTGTTGGTCCTATCAAAAAAATGCGTCACATATATTTTTTGTAAAAATTTGGGAATAAAAATTCTGCTGTGCTATGCCCGAGAGTTTATTTCGTAGATTTTAATTTGCGAAATTTCTTATCCAATTTGGTCCATTATATTTCGGATGCTGTTGGCCCTATATCTAAAAGTACTTCATACTTATTTTCGTTGAGTACTATCGGGGGATAACTCTTATGCTGTGCCGAGACTTTACCTCGAAAATTTAAATTTTCGAAATTTTGCATCCTATTTGGTCCATTGTATCCTGGATGCTGTTAGACCTATTAAAAGGTGTCTCAAATGTTTTCTGCAGGTCACTATCTGGAGATAACTTTCCTTTTATGGTCGAGACTTTATCTCGAAAACTTTTATTTTCAAAATTTTTCGCCCAGTTTGGTCCATCATATCCCGGATGCTATAATGGATGCTGTTGGTCCTATCAAAAAGTGTTCTATATCTTTTTGTATAGCACTATCGAGGGAAAACTTCTACTTTACCGAGAGTTCATCTCGAAAATTTTTGTACTATTTGGTCCATTATTATATACCGGATGCTGTTGGTCCTATCAAAAAATGCGTCACATATATTTTTTGTAGAAATTTGGGAATAAAAATTCTGCTGTGCTATGCCCGAGGCTTATTATATCAAGGATTTTAATTTTCAAAATTTTGCATCCTATTTGGTCCATTATCTTTCGGATGCTGTTGGTCCTATTAAAAATTGTCCCTTACTTTTTTGTAGAGCACTCGCGGGGGATAACTCTTATATGATTTGCCGAGATTTTATCTCGAAAATTTAAATTTTCGAAATTTTTCATCCAGTTTGGTTAATTATATCTCGGATGCTGTAGATCCTATCCAAACTGACCCAAACATCTTTATTTCATCAGTAACCTTTCACTGATTTAAATTTAGAGTAATATTTTTGTATTTTGCAAGTGACTCTTCAATATATTTTTATAGGATCCAAGAAATTTGATCTCTGGACCATGAGATCGGTTTGGTAACCTTTTTTTTTTTTTCTATTTAGTGGGTTCTGGGTCAGAGGATGTTGTGTACAAGAAATCTTTGTAAGGTATAGTCCCTATTTTCGGGGATGATGATTCTTCTTCTTCTCTCGTTGTCGATTAAAAATGAGACAGCAGGACGGATATTGCTTCACGGATCGACGAATTCTTGGCGAGTCTTGAGAGAGAGAGATATATATAGACAGAAAGAGGAAATGGTGAAGGGTGAAAAAAGTGGAATGAGAAAAAGGACACAAAGCAAAAGGCTTTTGTCCTCCAAAAACTCAGGGATTCGCATCGAATCAGTCACCGGAACTCGATTCTAAGATCATTCTATCTATTCGAGATTATCCTGCAGATGAAAAAAAAAAAATTTATACTATTTCCGTCCTAAATTCTAGAGTCATGCAAACAAATCAATTATATATTTTTTTCATTTATTTACTATTTATTTTTCTTTTCGTCTTCAAATTACTATAACAGGGTTTTATGTTTGGTTGATAATTTCCGGTTTAAAAGTACATCATTTCTAGAGGCACCTGTCAACTAAAATCCTAATTCGAAAGGAAAGGAAGTCTCTCTAGCATTTGAAATTCTCGCGACACCTGGCTTGCGTATGGTCCAATCGTTGGAAGATTGTTGTGTTTTTGTTAGAAAAAATAAATTGAACCCTCGGTGGTTTTTGAAATCCTTTTTTCTCCTTTCCCTCCTTCTTTTTTCTATCGTAATCTTCTTTCCCACAAAATATATAAGAGATTTTATTTTTCAGATATGAGATTTTAGTTTTTTTTTTTTTTTCCAGAGCCTTGACAAATTTTGTAAATTGAGAACATCCTGGCTTGGGCCTTCTTCTTTCGAGAAAGAGAGAAAGAGAAAAACTAAAATTGGATATAATTATGAATATGACCGCAATTTACCAAAAAAAGCCGAATTTTAAGATTAGGGTCTTTGAAAAATAAATCCCTAATAGAAAAATTTACATAATTTTTTTTTTATGAAATAATTATAATAAATTTGATTTCTGTTTTTTGTAGATACGCGACAATTTTGGCTTTTGATGTGAAGATAGAGAGAGACGCCCAGGAATTAGCAGATTCTATTGGCGTGAAAATATTCCAAGCAGACATCATCTACCATCTTTTCGACAAGTTTACCGCCTACAGGGAGGAGCTCAAGCAACGAAAACGTGAGGAACACAAACACATTGCTGTCTTCCCTTGCAAATTGAAAATTTTGCCACAAGTGAGTTTATATATATATATATATGGGTGAATCTCTCGAAAAGGACAAATGCTGAATTAAGAAAAAAAAAAAAAAAAAAGTTCAAAACCACTGTTATGACTATTGCTATGTGAAGAGAAGGACCGAAATAAGTCTCTAAAATACGTTGTTACGATCTTTATGAACATTATTGTTTAAAAAATAATTGTTTAATATAAAATAATTGTTTAATATTTTGTCACCGATACAATGATCGAATCCGTTTAAATCTTGTTACTCGAGGGTTTTTGGGGTCGCTAAACACGAATCCGGTGTTAGTTTTTCAAAATTCAAAATGACAGATCCAATATGGCGGACGACAATTTCAAAAATCAGTCCAATTTACTTGAAAATGGTTATTCGGGGGTTTTCGGGGTCGCTGATTACGAATTTAAGATCCGTTTTTAAAAATTCAAAATGGCGGACGACAGATTTAAACATCCATCCAATTTACTTGAAAATAGTTACTCAGGGGTTTTTGGGGTCGCTGATTACGAATCTGGAATCAGTTTTAAAAAATTCAAAATGTCGGACAATTATCTTTTAAATCTATTTAATTGGCTTCAATATCGTTAATTAGGGGGTTTCAATAACGGTGAACACAAATCTGAAGGTAACCCAAGTAACCATTTTCAAGTAAATTGGATTGATTTTTGAAATTGTAGTCCGCCATATTGGATCCGCCATTTTGAATTTTGAAAAACGGACCTCAGATTCGTAATCAGCGACCCCAAAAACCTCCGAGTAACCATTTTCAGGTCAATCGGATCGATTTTTTAAATTGTTGTCCACCATATAGGTTCCGCCATTTTGAATTTTTGAAAACGGACTTCAAATTCGTAATCAGCAGACGAAAATCTTGAAGGAACGATTTCGTTTGATTTTTTTAACATTATTATTCGATAATATTACATGTTCTTTTTTTTGACATGGCCCCCTTTGACCCCCTGTAATTCCGAAAGGGGGCATATGCTCATCTTGAAATTTTGCAGGGATTATTGGGTCATCATATGTTACCATTTGGCATAAAGAAAGTTTCAAAATTCGAGGTACGAAAAAGGTGCATTTTTTTGCATGAGGCTTTATAATCGATGGATGTGACTAGCGATCACGGAGGGGAGTTTTCTTCCTTTAGGCGTAGCCAAAATTTATTGATTCTAATATAAAAATAATAAATTTTATAAAAAAAAGTAATAATAGTATTCGCGATATTTAAAAGAATATTCTAAAAATTATTAATAATATTTATTATTTATTTATCAAAAAACTAAATTTAAAGTGGTCACGGAGGGGAGTTTTTTTGTGTCGACGAACATTGCGAAACTGAAAATCTTTCTGACACTTATTGTTTTCATTTCTTTCATGATGTTGTGTACTGACCAAAACAACATCGTCACTGTAAACACTTTTGAATTCTTCATTTCTCAATTATCATTTTTTTTTTTTCATTTACTCATTATATTTGTAATTGGTCACGGAGGGGAGTTTACTTTGCGAACAAAACTTATTTAATTCTAGGAAAAAATATTTTACAAATATTCTGTTTTACACTTTATAAATCAATTATAAATAATGTAATTAGTAGATGTTACTAGACAAAAGATGTTTTCCTATTGCAGTATGAATGCAATAATTCTTCTTTAAATAAAACTTACTTCGCGAACGGTAACGGAGGGGAGTTTTTACACTATATAAACATGATTATATTCAATTATTTAAAATTGTCAATTTTTTTTTATAAAATCTTATTAAATTCTGTTGACTTCTATAATAAGGCCCGCAACATTTTCAATTATTATAATTATTTATTAAAAATAATGTCATGAACGTGTCATTTGTCCTTTTTGTGAGAATGACCCATATATATTTATTTTTTTTTGAAAATTTGAATTCAGTTTTGCCAAAATATCGCATCTTTGAATTTATAAACGTAAATAGGGTCAGCCGGGGTAAATCCGAACGCTTTTAGTAAGTTTCAACAATAACATAAGTTTTTTCTTTAAAAAAAAAATACTTCCGGTATTCTGGTGCATGAAGTTGTTACTTTACTTCCATAGAACAATTTTATGGGGTAGAAAATTTTTTTGATAAATTACAATCGCAGGAAACTTAGCGTTCGTATTTACCTCGATACTTTACAACTTTCCTAAAATACCGGGGTAAATACGAACGCCACTGTATTTCAGAAAAATCTTAGGGAAAATAAATTTAAAGTATTGCAATTGTTAAACTTATATAAAAATTCAAAATAAATACGTTAATAAATCTATTATGTAATAATGCATCATATATAAATACACGGAGAAAAAGGAATGGTTGGGCCAACCATGATAAATACGTCCCATCAATATTATATGGTTACCACAACCATATCTTTAGTTGATACAAGCATAGTATGGTTGGCGCAACTAAAGGTCAGGTTGACACATCAAATTTGCAATTTTTCGTCATTTTGATGTGACAACCTAACCTTTGGTTAGGCCAACCATACTATGGTTGTATCAACTAAAGATATGGATGTGGTAACCATATAATATTGATGGGACGTATTTATCAATACCTATGGTTGGCCCAACCATTCCTTTTCTTTCCGTGTACAAAAATCAAACAGGTTAAAAATTAAAATGCATTACACAATTAAAACCTTCAATAACTTTATCAAATCATAACAGATTTTTGCAAAACTTGCTACAGAAAGTATTTTGGAGTGATTGAATGTAAATACAAAAATAAATTTCAAATTTTTTAAATTCAAAATGGCGGATTCCATATGGCGGACTTTCCTAAAACTTATTTTTTAAAAATGATCAAATTTGCTTGATTCTTGCCACTGGAGGGTTTTCGGGGTCGCTGAATACGAATCTGAAGTCAGATTTTTAAAATTCAAAATAACGGATCCAATATGGCGGACGAAAATTAAAAAATTCATTGGATTCGCTCGAAAATTGTTACTCGGGGGGTTTTAGGGTCGCTGATTACGAATTTAGAGTTAGTTTTTTTAAAATTCAAAATAGCGGATCCAATATGGCGGATGTTCTTAAAACTTAATTTTAAAAATGATCAAATTTTCGTTCGCCATATTGGATCCGCCATTTTAAATTTTGAGAAACTGACTTCAAATTCGTAATCAGTGACCTTGAAACCCCCCGAGTAACAATTTTCGAGCGAATAAAAAATCGACTGAATAAAATGTCGATCTTCATAAATGTCTATCATTTTGAATTTCGATAAAATAAAATATCGACCACTTTAAATATCGATCATTTAGAATTTCGAATAAATAAAATATCGATCAAATAAAATGTTGAACATTTTAAATACCGATCATTTAGAATTTCGTTCAAATAAAATATCGACTTAATGTAATTCGATCAATTAAATTTTCGACCTTTTTAATTTTTGGGAAAAATCATGCGCCTCAAAAATGTTAACTAATTTAAATTAATAAATTTAAAATAAAGACTGTAACAATGTTAACTAATTTAAATTAATGACTCACTTTTTGCTTTAGAATTAATAAAATTTTACTAATTGAGAAGCAAAAAGTGAATCACTAATTTAAATTAGTAAAATTTGTTTACTAATTCAGATTTAGAGAGTACCAAAAAATTTGTTTAAACTGAAAAAGTTTTGGAATTTTATTTGGCAAAAGCGCCTATAGACACTTTGGTATATATATATATATATATATATATATATATATATATATTAAATGTGAAAGTCGATTTATGGTATGATTAATGGTTTAACCAAGATCCGATCAAAACAGGAACTCATTGATAAATTTTAATCGCATAGTCAGATCTCTATAATTTGTACAGAGCTTATCTCCCTTGATTAATATGATGAAGAGCAGTTAGCAAAAGCAGTTCATTCTTTATTGCGCCCAGGAAATTGATGCAGTTCTTCAAGATAAATACACTTAATAGGGACAGATGACGACTTATCGAATTGAAACGCAAATTTAAATCTTCATTGGGGGGGGGGGGGAGAGGGAATTTTTCTTTTTACTAAAAAAAAAGAAAGATTATAAAAGCTGCTCTCTTGTGATGTATATACATAATCTTTTATATTTTCTTTTTCTTCATGGTGTTAGACAAGACTTATTAGCATATATAGAAATAAGTCCCTATATATCTAAATGCGATCTGGCAGCTTTTCTATAATTTTTTTTTCTTTTTTGATATACATAGTCTGATTTCAATGCCCGCGGTTCAAGAGAGCCGATTAGTCTTCTCAGTATATTATATCGTCGCTAGGAATATATATAAGAGAAAACCTGTTCGTGTAGTAGCCGCGCTGCCGCTAATGAATGTATATATACAAGATTGGCGTTTATCGACAAATGTGCACTCGGCGATCAGCAGCCGACAGGAAGCCGAGAGGGTGGGGTGAGATGGCGGACCCCCCTGAGCACCGGAAACGACAGCCTTCATAGCTTATCGATCATCTTGTTAATAACGTCTCTGTAAAAGTTGAAACGTTCTCTTTTTTTTTTTTTTTTTTCATCAGGGCCGGCTTTTACAGTAATTCGCATGGGTATAGGAAAAGTGGGGGTAATCTTACATTTTTACACTTCTTTGTAAAAAAACATTACTATTCAAAGATTACTTTTTCTACACAAACAGATCATTTTCAATGGGGAATTTTTTTAATTACTGGAAATTTTGATTTTTTTTATCAATTTATTTTTATTAATTAATTTAGGGTCAATTGGGGTAAATGGGGACAAGAGGTTTTGGTGCTTAATTTACAGTTTTAAAATAAAGTTCAAATATTTTAACGTCAGATCACCCTGCAAGAGGTTTTGAGTATTGCCAAGCTTTTATCTTGACAATTGGCAGCAAGATAATTCAACCCCACTTGGAAAGATTCCACGGAAAGTGCCCCCTGGAGGTTCTATCAGAATTCCGCCGGAATTCCATCGGAGTTCCAAAGAATTTCCGATGTGGTTTCCGACGGAATTCCGATTAATTTTTTTT